GTTTATTTTGATTTGAAAAGCCAGTTTAGAAATATCATAAGATTCTTATTCACACAAATAAGATGGGATATATAAATACACATAGTTTTTAAGATATTATTTTGTGGCTTTTTGTGTTGCAGTATGTTGCATTGTTATTTATTCAATTTCTTCTGTAGAATAACAGATTCAATGTAATCTCGTAAGGTGTAGCCTTTAAATGTATTTAAATGAGCACAGAGTTTTCAGCTGAATTTCAATCTGGCTTTCCCTCAAGGAAATATGATAGTTGTAGGAATTTCTCATGACACAGCCCAGTGACTCGAGAGGAAATTTAGAAGAAGAGTTTTTATTTTACAGTAAAGAGTTGAAAGAGAAAAATGGCAAACTTTCTGGATCCAAACAATCCAAACCCCAGACATCCTAGGAGAAGCAAAGATTTGAGAGCCTGTCACATTGATTTTGAAAGCTAAAGCAGTAATATAGTTTCCACCTGGACAGAAATTTGATTATATCATTCATCTCAAATAAGAAGTAATATTAATTGTATTATTAACTGTTTTATTGCAGTATGATTTCATACCATAAAATCTACCTACTTTTAGAGTAGAAATAAATGATTTTTAGTTAACATAGCTGTGCAACCATCACCATAATCCATCTTTAAAACATTCCTGTCATCCTAAAAAGGTATCTTGTGTTAACTTGTAATCACTCCCGTTCTTAACTCCCAGCTTAAGACAACTGTTAAGTCTGTCTTGTGTCTCTATAAATGTACCTTTCTGCACAGTTCAAATAAATGGGACAATGCAATACATATTTTTTGTGTATCTGATTTCTTTCATCAACATAAGATTTTTGAAATTCATCTGTATTGTAGCATGCACCAGTACTTCATTTCTTTGTATTGTTAAATAGTAACCATTATCTGAAAATGTCACATTTGCTTTATCCATTTACAAATTGATAGAGCCTTGGATCTCTTTCAGGTTTTTTTTTTTTCTTTCCAACTGTGAATAATACTGCTGTGAGTATTCATTTACAAGTTTTTGTTTGGATATATATTTTAAATTCTCTTGGGTAGATTCCTAGAAGTGGAATTGTAGAGTTTTGTGGTAAAGTTATGTTTAACACTATAAGTACATAACTGCCAAACTGTTTTCCCAAGAAGCTGTACTATTTTACATTCCCATCAGTGTTGTATGAGGAGTCCTATTTTTCTATATCCTTGTCAACATTTGTTATTATCTCTCTTTCTGATTATTGCCAATTAGTGAGTGTGTGTACTAATATCTCATAATTTTGACTTGCATTTTCTTAATGAATAATGATGCTAAGAATCTTTTATATGTCTCTTTTTAATGTCTGTTTGTTTATATGTTACATATATTTTTATATATCTGTAATCCCATGACAAATAAATTCAAGGGATTAGATCTGATTTTCCACTTATATATTTTCTTTGGTAAAATGTCTATTCACCTTTTTAGCCCATTTGTCACTTGGGTTATTTCTATTTTTGTTATTATTGGTTATTCTTAATGGTTCTCTGATGTTGAGCATATCTGATATCCTCACAAAGTAGGTGGGAAATCTGGCAAATGTCTAGGTTTTTGTATATGCATGGCAATGTCTATGTAACTAAAATAGGGGGTGATATTTAATTTTTTTTTCATTTGTTTTTGTTACAGAAAAAAAGGAGGCACTGGTGACAAGTGGTGGAATTTTGTAGAAATTTCGCAGAGTGTGTGGAGACCACTGAGGCATGCTGAAAAGGCTTCATTTGCCAGCATGCATCATCATGGTCAAGCAGAACAGGCGCCCTTGTTGTTCTCCACAGGCAAGCCATCCTGGAGAGATACCAGCACACTTCTACTGCCGGAAACCGAAGACACTGATTAGTGAATCCACACTAGTTCTACCGTCATTTGAAATGTTCTTGGATTTTATTTGGTATACAATTTGGTGATTCATAAAGGGAATTATTGAATTATTTGCACTGTTAAATGATTGTGAAATGCTTTATTAATGTAGAGTCTGGTCAAGATGTGTGAAATAGTATGTTTTTGTTATGTTAGAAGAGCAAGATAGGCAGTAGTCTCCCAATTTTGAGACCATAGAGGCTAAGCCTCTGCCACCAGGTACTTCAGCCCAACTAGCTGAGCTCATTCATAGCCCTGACTCGAGCTTTAGAGCTGGGAAAAGAAAAAAGAATAGCCGTTTACACTGACTCCAAGTATGCCTTTCTGGTGCTACATGCACATGCAGCTATTTGGAAAGAAAGGGGCCACTTGACCACCCGAGGGTCCCCAATCAAATATGATGATCAAATCCTTAGACTCTTGGAGGCAGTCCATCTGCCCACTGAGGTTTCAGTCTCCCACTGTAAAGGACACCAAAATGGGAGCACAGAAGTGGCACGAGGGAACCACGCATCTGATCAGGCAGCTAAGAGAGCAGCATTACAGAACCATGACCTAATAGGGATTGCCACCTTAGTTCCACAAACTAATTTGCCAGAAACCCCTTCATATACTGAAGGTGAACGACTCTTAAAGCTAAGAGTGAGGGCTTTCAAGAAGATCATATGGGGTGGTTCCAAAAGGAGGGACTCCTTTTTCTGCCTGGGAACCTCCAATGGAAGTTGGTTAACTCCTTACATGCCACCACTCATTTAGGGGAAAAGGCCCTCCAAAGATTACTAGAAAGTTCCTTGAGAGGAACAGGTTTCCAAACAACTATAAGACAAGTTGTCTCCTCTTGTCCCACTTGCCAATTAAACAACCCCCAAGGAGCTCGAAGACCCCAGCTGGCCCAGCCCGTCCAACTACGTGGGGCCTATCCACTGGCAGATGGACTTCACCCAGAGTCTAAGGATTTGATCACCATATTTGATTGGGGACCCTCTAGATGTCAGGTAAGTGTATGCACCTCGGTTTTTGTCTCATCACAACAAGGATTTGGAGTGACGGACATTAAAGCCCCCCTTGGCGTGTCACAGCTGTCTGGTCTTGGACAGACCGTGTTATAGCTCTTAGATAAATCAGTGTTACAGCTCTATTTTATTCAGATAATAGCAGGAAAATCCATCTTCGAGGGGTGAGGGTATGTCAACCCAAAGACCCGAAGAGAAGAGCACCCCATCGCACAGGCGGGGCGCGGGGGGGGGGGCGGGGGGGCGGGGAGAGAGAGAGAGCCCTTTGGCTCCTCTTTTTATATATATATATTTTTTCCCCTGGGCCTGTCCTATGTAAATTGGGCCAGCCAGGAGTCCTTTGTTCTATTTTCATGGGCTTTTCCCTTTCAGGTCTTTTAGCCACCGCCATTCTGGACTCCTTTTCCCTATTCTAACTACCTAACAGTTTACAATTTGATGATTCATAAAGGGAATTATTGAATTATTTGCACTGTTAAATGATTGTGAAATGCTTTATTAATGTAGAGTCTGGTCAAGATGTGTGAAATAGTATGTTTTGTTTTCATTTATATCACTATTTATGAATTGGAAATACTCATTCTGCTTCTTTGGATTGCTTCTCCTAGAGTTTTTTTCATTCTTGGTTGTCCTTTGTTATATATTCCTAAATTACTTTTAATAATACATCCAGTTCTCTGGAGATGAGCTATAGACACTTAATAAGCTGTGGTTTTTAGTTCTGGAAGGACTGTTAATGACAATCTCTTTTAAGATTCAGATTTTGCTTGATAGGACAGTGTAACTTTTAGAGATTTTGATACCCTGGGTCTGGGGTAGAGCCTGGGAATATATTTTGTGGCTAAGAACTTCGGTGAGTCTTAGGATCAGGAAAGTTTGGGAAGCATTGTTGTGATAGAAAAAGGACTTTGGATTCAGATGAACTTGGTTTCTAGTCGTATTTAATTGCCAGTTGTGTGTTTTTGGGACACATAAACCACCTCTGTAAGTTTAATTTCTTTATAAGATTACTGAGATAGTTAAATAACATACATAAAGAATGGGGCACAATAAATATGCAACAAGTTATCTATTCTAATTATATTCCATTTAATGACAATAATCAGCCAAATATTTTAACACTTATGTACAATGATGAAGACTCATTCTTTACCCTCAAAAAACTTACCAATTAGTAGTACAGTGAGGATGAGGTTTTTTACAGTGAAAGGCAATGTTATATCATCAAATAAGTTCAAAACCATTTTCTTTGGAAGAAGGGAAATGAAACAGGCAGACATTGCTAGGAGTGTAGGGTGATTTTATGGGGTGGAGTATGGGTGGCACTAGGAGCAAGAAAGACCGGGGGCAGGAAATAAGAAAGCATCTTTCAGAAAACACCGAAGAGTCCCATTGGTTTCTTTCAAATAGCAAAATTAGAGTAGCACCAGGAGATAATGATAGAAAGACAAGTTGGTGGTGGACTTTAAAAGAAGATTCAAGTAGTGTTTGACTTTTGCTTCCAATAAAGATTTTGAACAGGAGAGATAGTAAGAATATACTCTAGTCTTCTAAAAAATGTATTAGAAGTTTAAACTGATAATAGTGTGAAGGTAGGAAGTGATTCGGGGGGCAGGGGAATTAGCTTTTTTTTTTCAGTAATAATAGTAATTCAATAGTAATTAAGGGTTTGATAACAGTGGAAATCTATATCTCAAAACGAAATGGAGATGCCTAAAATACACCTGAAAGATGCTGTCTTTTGTAGTTCAGGTAAATAAAGGAAAAAAAGGTCCATATTAAAGGTTTTCCATACTACCCATATCAAATTTTTAAAATAGTCGAGTCCCTTCTTTTAGTGACTTTCAACTACAAGACAGCCGAAAGGTTGAAGAAAGAAACAAGAGAACTGTCCCAGACTAGAGGGTCGGGAAGCCTGCACCCCAGCAGGAGGGGGCGTGTGCATGGGCGGGGACGCAGGCGGAGGTGCGCGGCAGCCCCGGGGTATCGCGAGAGTTGGGCGGACCGAGCAATCGCAGCAGTCAATTCCCCCACCCTCCCGGGAGGAGCCGCCGGCCCTGGACTCTCCAAATTCTGAGCTCTCATCATGGCGGCGGCGGCCGCTGCGGCCGTCGGGGGGCCGCAGCCACCCCAAGCCGAGGTGCCTGCTCCCGGGCTGGCCCTGGACAAGGCGGCCACCGCCGCGCACCTGAAGGCGGCCCTCAGCCGCCCGGACAACCGGGCAGGTGCTGAGGAGCTGCAGGCGCTGCTGGAGCGGGTGCTGAGCGCCGAGCGGCCGCTGGCAGCGGCTGCGGACGGCGAGGAGGCGGCGGCGGCCGGCGGCGGGGGCGGTCCGGGGGCGGCCGAGGAGGAGGCTCTGGAGTGGTGTAAGTGCCTTCTGGCGGGCGGCGGAGGCTACGAAGAGTTCTGCGCGGCGGTGCGGGCCTACGACCCCGCGGCGCTATGCGGCCTGGTCTGGACAGCCAACTTCGTGGCCTACCGCTGCCGGACGTGCGGCATCTCCCCCTGCATGTCGCTTTGCGCCGAGTGCTTCCACCAGGGTGACCACACCGGACACGACTTCAACATGTTCCGCAGCCAGGCCGGGGGTGCCTGCGACTGCGGAGACAGCAACGTGATGCGGGAGAGTGGGTGAGTGGAGCCTTTCCCCGGGGCGGGGGACACCGCGGTATTGCCCAGGCCGAGTCTGGAGAGGCCTCGGGGAGGGGAAGCTCGGAGCCGACTCCGAGCTGTCAAGAGAAAGAAGTGGGGGAAGGTGCAGCCACATGGAGATGGAAGTGACTGAGCTGTCAGCGGTGGAAAGGGGATGGGGAGGAGGGGAGAGCGGAGAGCGTATTTAGAGAACGAAGCTGGGAATTTCGGGGAAGCCGGGGCGAACGAGTGATTGCGAGAAAAAAGCCAGTGCCTAGTGTAGGAGCGGAGAGGAGAGGAAAGGATACTTGGGCAATCTGGTGTCGAGCTGTCAATTGTGTACTTGCTGGGGAAGGCTTTAAAGCCGTCCGTTTCTTGGGAAGAAACTGATGATGTGATTTGGATTATTTGGGAGAGCAGTGATATTGGGGACTAAATTGGGTCGCGGGATGATGGGAGTCGGGGAAGTGGTCTTGCAGCTGCAGAGGAGGACAGCTTGTGGAAGGGACTTCTGAACTGTCAGTGTGGCAGTGTGAGGGAAGGAGCTCCTGAGCTGATGGGGGTTGAGGGAGGAGGGGAGGGGAGGGGCCTGAATGAAAAGTGGCTGTTGAGCTGTCAGTGGAGTATTTGGTGTGCTGGAATGACAGCTAGAATTGAGCTACCGAGAGAGCAGTCAGTTATGGAATACCCTCCATACCAGAACAGACAAAACACTGAGCGAATTAGGAATCAGGTGCTAGGTCTTCTCCAGTAAAAGGGCACTTTATTCACGGACTAACACGCGAACCTCTATCTAAAAGGAAACACTCAACAGATGCTTTTTTCGATAGGAGTGTTGTACCAGGACGTCGGGATTTGCCAAAAGACATTTCAGATATTGCAGGGAGTTAAAGAGTTGGTACATGTGTGTCTTGGCTTGGGACATGATGTCTGGGGAAGTCCTGTGAGAAGAAAAAAGCTTAGTCAAAGAGAGCTTTTTGGTTGGGTAGTATCTGAAAGAATGTTAGCAAATCCAGTTATTCAGGTTTTTCGATTTTCAGGTCTTATAATTAATGATAGAGTATAATCCCTTTAGAAATGGTCTCTGTTTTCCTTGGAGTAGGTTACTGTTACTGCAAAATGTTTGTATCTATTAGGTAGATACATGACCTGTGTCTTAAGCAGCTTATGCAAGAGTAGAAAATGATAAGTTCCTTAAATAGTCTGGGAGTTAGAGGAGGCTTCTGTGCAGAGGGAGTAAGAAAAAGCTTCAGAAAGGAGCTTTTTTGAACTTGCTAATAATGATACTTGTAATTCTGCTGCTGCTGACAAGGACAATAGTAATAATTGCAGCTAACATTTGCTAACTTTAGAGTGTATGCCTGACACTTAAAAAATACTTTCAAAATTGATAATTGAATAGGTAAACTTTTTTTAGCTAAAACAAAAAAATAAAAATAGACACAGTTTAAGGTTTCCCTCCCATCCTATCTCCTGTCTGTCCAGTTTCTTTCCACCGTTTTTAGTTTCTCTTGGTGTGAAAACAAACAAGGGTGAATATGTATTTTGATTTTTCAGTCTCTTTATACCATTTAAATTATTCTATGCATCTTGCATTTTTCACTTAAGAGGTCTATGTCAGTAAATCAGTGTACTCTGTTAAAAAAAATCTGCATAGTGTTTCATGTCATAAATTTGCCATTCTTAGTCATCACTTTTGATGGACATTTTGGTTCCAGGATGAAATTACAAACTGATATACCTTCTTTCCACACCTGTGCAAGAATATCAGTGGGATAAATAAAGTGAAATTTCCAGATTGCCCCCCATAAGGCTTAGTAGTAAGCAGAGCATGTGACTGTTTCACAACAGCCTCATCAACAGAGTGCTATTAAAACTTTGTATTTTTATCCACCTGTTTGGAAAATAATGATCAAATATTAAAACCTGCTTTACATGATTAGCTCATTTAATCAGTAACTCCAAGACTGTTTGTTCCTCATTATCCCATTGTACAGAAGAGGAAAGTGGGACTCGGGGTTTAAGACACTTGCTCAGGATTACACAAGTAGTTGGCTATGCATCTTGAGGTCAGAGCCTGACAGCTTCACCATTCTCTATTGCCTTTACAAAATAGCATTCTTTTTGGTACTTCCATTCGTTACTGTGTCCTTGTTTTTTTAATATGCCATTCTTATTTAGGCCTTTTTATTTTCTTTTTAAAATCTTACCTGTTAAAAACATTTAAGAGGGATTTCAAAACAGAGGAATTGGAACCATGCTTTATTGATACTTAGACATTTTTACTTTTTAGTCAAGGTTAACATTTGAGAAACCGGCAAAGTACATGAAAGTAGGAGATGATATTGATTCTTTCCTGAATTTTAGAACCAGGTGGTGTAATTAATTATCAGGTTCATTTGGATGAGATGCATATCTGATCTCTCATTGTGATACTTCGTTGTGGGAGCAGAAATATCTCAGTGAGTTTCTTTCAAGGTACTTGTACAGTTTTAGGGTATCTGACCTCTAGCCGGTCCACATCTTAATCTCATAGCATTTGCCTTTACTGACATCTTGTAGATTCTTATTTTTCCCCTAATCAGGCAAGCCTCTCTTTATGAGATGATATATGCGCGTGCTCAGTTGCTTCAGACTCTTTGCGACCCTGTGGACTGTAGCCCACCAGGCTCCTCTGTCCATGGGGTTCTCCAGCCAAGAATATTGGATTGGGTTGTCCTATCCTTCTCCAGGGGATCTATAGTACTTAAATAATTATTGCCTATCTAAAATGCATAGCTATTGTCTGTACATGCCAGCAGTTGCCATGCCGTTTCATGATGGGCAAGAGTGAACAATAAACAATATTATGGCCATGTGATTATTCTGAAATTTTTACAACTCTTTGGGTTGGACAGGATAAATCTTCTGGGCTACACACCTGATTACTGCCTTGAGAGACACAGGATGTTAGCCAGTGTTGCAGGTTGAAACGCTGCCTCAGGGACCTTCTTAGAACTGGGAATCATTAAAAATTTCCTGGTGGGCAAAGCTGGACTACCCTCGCATGGATGGAATGTAACTTTTCTCAGTTTTTGATATTTCTTAAAATTTTGTTGGTTGTTGAAGATCGAGGATGTGTTGATTTTGGTGGTGTTTGTTATTTTAATTGTCATAGAAGTTTGTATATCCTATTCAGTAAATTTTTAAGGAAGGATTCTATTGTTCTCTGTATCTTGTTCTTAGTAAAAGAGAGGCCTGCTGTGCCTTAATCCTTTCCCCAAGTGGCTGACTCTTTTGGGTAGGATGTTGTATGATTGGAGATGAGGAGAATCAAATATTTGGTCCATCACAGCCTATTTAATTACTATTTAATTTTCAGATTGATAATTACAGAAATATGCAAAGAGGATTCATTTTTCTTTGATTAGTAGTAGTAAATGTGGCATATTAACAGGTATACAAATCAAACAAAGAAAACAGCTGAGAATTCATTTGTGGGAAGAGATTACAAAGCCTATAGAAACTGTGTTAGTAATTGTGTGTTAGGACTTCCCTGGTGGTCCAGTGGTTAAGACTCAATGCTTCCAATGCTAGGGGTGTGAGTTTGATCGGAACTAAGATTCCGAGCTTTGCAGCATGTCCAAAAAATAAATAAATAAAAATAAATTTAAGTAAAAATTTAAAAGATAAATAAATTTTAAGAATAGTAATGGAAAATATAAAATAATGTTTGACTGGTTTGGGGTTCTGATGTTACAAACAGGAAATTGGAATTTTAAACATTTAGTTTTCAAATTTTGATGCACAGGATGACCGTTTTTATATTCTATTCTGCATTACAGATTTTTTTTTGCCACCTTCCTTATTCTTCCTCACAGATTCTAAACTCCTTAAAAGTTAGAAAGTTCATCTTGCTGTTATTAATCAAAGGCTCTTGCGCTTGCTTACTAGGTAGATAGCATGTGTTGAATTAAATTGGATAAACTAGTAACTGTTTTACCTTAAAGTTTGCCCTGAGATCACATTGCTTTAGTTATTCAGGAGGTGGCATGGATTATTAAATCCACAGCATCTTTTTTTTTTTTTAGGAGAAATTTTATTTTCAAGGACTTGTGCAGACAGTGGTGAATAAAAAATTTTATTTCCGCTATAAAAAGCTGACTTCATTCCACCCTGGCATACAGGGTTTATGGTGTGCCAGTTTGAATCTGAGGCAGTACTGCTATCCCCATTCTTCTACTCCTAAAAGACTCTCTTAAAGGAACAACTTCCTACGATTTTCAGCCAAAAATGTGACATACCAACCAAAGCATCTTTTTTCAGTGTACTTCAGGAATTGTTATTATTTTTTAATTTCAAAAGTAATAGTGGTTATAACAAAAATAGGTGGATAAAGTAAAAATTAGTTTCCTCTTTCCTCCTCCCCTCTTCTCAGTGAGAGATTTCCCTTTCTTTTGAGCTTAATTACACATTTAAAAGATTTTAGTTATAATTTATTCAGCATTTCTAGATGTTTTGTTGTGGGAAGTTTTTAGGTTCTTTGGTGTGTGGCAGTGCTAGAAATACTTTGGCCAACTGATGCGAAGAGCTGACTCATTTGAAAAGACCCTGATGCTGGGAAAGATTGAGGGCAGGAGGAGAAGGGAACGACAGAGGATGAGATGGTTGGATGGCATCACCGACTCAATGGACATGGGTTTGGGTAGACTCCGGGAGTTGGTGATGGACAGGGAGGCCTGGCATGCGGTTCATGGGGTCGCAAAGAGTCGGACATGACTGAGCGACTGAACTGAACTGAACTGAACCGAGTGCTAGAAATTGAAGCTGTGGATGTCTGGTTGAATAGTGTTAAACTCTCTGTACCTTGCTTTTTCCCCTGAACATACTTATTGAACACTGTCTCTTATTAGTACATGGAGAACAATTTGATTTTCTTCTTAAATTGTATTCTATTGCATTTTGATATTTTTGTATTTTACTGTAATTTATTCAGTCAGTTCACTACTGATAGACATATA